CGTTTCTACATAACAAGAACTCAAGGTCCAAATGTGGGCATCAATGTGATTCTGGGACCTAGCACTGATGCAAATGCTGAGATTTGCAAAGTTGGAACAAATTCGGATTATACTTTCTTTTTCTGTGCAGTAAACTATTTTCTTTGAAAATGTTGGCATTTTGTGGGGAAGTTACCACAAGGAGTGGGCCGATATTGTCCATTTCCGTACTCGATCTAAGTTTGACAAAAATATTGCGATGTACCAAGTATACATCGAATCGGATACTCCCTTCGAGAGTTATAGTGCGCACGAGCCAGCCAGACAGCCGGGCGCCCTAGATCGACTTAAAATGTCTTGAAACGTATCAGGTCCGAAGAGACTTAGGGCCTAAAACCATTATTTCGATGAGGCGCATTTTGGCCGTATCAAATGATATATACCCTCTCTAGTAATATGGTTCAGGGTATAAAAATAGCCTTTTAATTAAACTGTCATATTGCATAAGTTATGAATATACCACTTACATCCTTGTTTTCTTCGTTAATTCTATAGTAAAAAAGGTTAGAAGAAGTCATCAGGGTTTTGAAATTATCTGTAATCATTATTCTAGGATTTCTATGAGAATTCTGTTAAACTATATTGGACCGGATAGCCTAGCACACGCTAAGTACTAGAAGTGAGTAGAAGGTTTTAAGCCTTACAGAAAAAATAGTCTTAAAATTAATCTGAGAAAAATAACCTTATTCGTTAAATGGGTGTGAAGATAAATTGGAAAGTTAAATTGGATGTTAACAGACACAGTTACTTAACAGAGCTCTGTTAAGGACTTAACAGAGCTTTGTTAAAGACTGAGTAAAAAAGAAAATTTTGAAAAATATAATTATTTGTTAATTATTATATTAAAATTTATTACTTCGGTAATAAAAATAGCTTGAATACAGATAAAATAAATAATATGCAGCACCAACTATAGAACAAACCGTTTCAGACACCCGAATTGGCTCATATCTTTATTATGATGTAAAAAAACGGAATGGACCACTGTGCAAAGCCTATAAAACCTGCGCGGATCAAACTAGGCTTAAATGAAAGGTCTCTCCGAGCACTTTCAGCCCATATATAGGTTATAGTCCAAAACCGTTTCAGAGACCCAAATTGGACCCATCCTTAATAATAATAAGGTCCTAACAGATTGAACCACTGTGCAATGCCTATAAAACCTGCCTATGCCTATATAGGCAGAGCCTATAAAACCTGCGCGGATCAAACTAGGCTTAAATGAAAGGTCTCTCCGAGCACTTTCAGCCCATATATAGGTTATAGTCCAAAACCGTTTCAGAGACCCAAATTGGACCCATCCTTAATAATAATAAGGTCCTAACAGATTGAACCACTGTGCAAAGCCTATAAAACCTGCGCGGATCAAACTAGGCTTAAATGAAAGGTCTCTCCGAGCACTTTCAGCCCATATATAGGTTATAGTCCAAAACCGTTTCAGAGACCCAAATTGGACCCAATCCTGAAATTTTGAATTTAAAATCAATTACTTATGGCTCCAACATATAAACTTTAATAACAGATACTTACATAAATTACATTTATTCTGTAAAAAATTCTTAATAAAAATTAAATGCAAAAAAAACATATTTTTTAAAAATAGAAAAACACACCTTCCACAGGATTTGAACTCGCGACGCAAGGCATGAAACGAAACAGCTTTATCACTTAAGCTACCACAAGATCACAACGATGGTGAACTTAAGTTGTGTAGTATTTTTTGTGAAAACATAAACAAGAGTTATTCGTCAGAAAAAAAAACGTACATTAAGACAAACAACAACAATGGTACGTGCGAAATGTAACGGTTCACATTCTTTGGAATTTTGCTTTTCAGATAGGTTACTTCACATAAATGTAATTGAATAAAAAATATGAACTGATGTGAATGTGTGAAATATCGTGATGTGGGTATTTCAAAATAAAAAAATGTTTCTATTTAACAACAATATAAATAAGTATAAAAAGGAATTGGTTTTAATACAACATTTGAACATATTTATAATAAAATATAATAAATAAAATATTTTTTGGAATAAAGATATATATAATAATATATATAAATACGGAATTGTGAAACTATAACTATAATGGAAAAAATAAATATGAATAAAAATTTTTGAATATATACAAATAAAAAAATTAACGTACATTTATTATTATAAATAAGTATAGTAAAAATAATCTACCTCCTACCTACGCTAATATGCAACCCACTGCATGAGAGGTTCTTTAATCAATAAAATGTCCGTTACCAATTTTATTTTGATTATCAACATTGACAACGGCAAAAATGATCTCATATTGTTCGGCACTGTTAATAACTTTAAGCAAACGCCTGCACACTAGTGCAGTGGCCTAGTCGGTTGAGTGACTCCGCAGAAATCTGTTGGGTCGTAGGTTCGAATCCCGGTACGGGAATTTTGTTTTATTACTTTTTTAGACGTAGAACATTTAAAGAAATTAAAAATAAAATAAGAACTTTAGCGATAAAACATAAAAGAGGAAATGTTGAAGAAAAATATTGGTGAAGCATGCATGTGTATGTCCCATGGAATTTTTTAAGGTCGATCCGCGCAGGTTTTATAGGCTTTGCACAGTGGTTCAATCTGTTAGGACCTTATTATTATTAAGGATGGGTCCAATTTGGGTCTCTGAAACGGTTTTGGACTATAACCTATATATGGGCTGAAAGTGCTCGGAGAGACCTTTCATTTAAGCCTAGTTTGATCCGCGCAGGTTTTATAGGCTTTGCACAGTGGTTCAATCTGTTAGGACCTTATTATTATTAAGGATGGGTCCAATTTGGGTCTCTGAAACGGTTTTGGACTATAACCTATATATGGGCTGAAAGTGCTCGGAGAGACCTTTCATTTAAGCCTAGTTTGATCCGCGCAGGTTTTATAGGCTTTGCACAGTGGTTCAGTCTGTTAGGACCTTATTATTATTAAGGATGGGTCCAATTTGGGTCTCTGAAACGGTTTTGGACTATAACCTATATATGGGCTGAAAGTGCTCGGAGAGACCTTTCATTTAAGCCTAGTTTGATCCGCGCAGGTTTTATAGGCATTGCACAGTGGTTCAATCTGTTAGGACCTTATTATTATTAAGGATGGCTCCAATTTGGGTCTCTGAAACGGTTTTGGACTATAACCTATATATGGGCTGAAAGTGCTCGGAGAGACCTTTCATTTAAGCCTAGCTTGATCCGCGCAGGTTTTATAGGCATTGCACAGTGGTTCTATCTGTTAGGACCTTATTATTATTAAGGATGGGTCCAATTTGGGTCTCTGAAACGGTTTTGGACTATAACCTATATATGGGCTGAAAGTGCTCGGAGAGACCTTTCATTTAAGTCTAGTTTGATCCGCGCAGGTTTTATAGGGTTTGCACAGTGGTTCAATCTGTTAGGACCTTATTATTATTAAGGATGGGTCCAATTTGGGTCTCTGAAACGGTTTTGGACTATAACCTATATATGGGCTGAAAGTGCTCGGAGAGACCTTTCATTTAAGCCTAGTTTGATCCGCGCAGGTTTTATAGGCATTGCACAGTGGTTCAATCTATTAGGACCTTGTTATTATTAAGGATGGGTCCAATTTGGGTCTCTGAAACGGTTTTTGACTATAACCTATATATGGGCTGAAAGTGCTCGAAGAGACCTTTCATTTAAGCCCAGTTTGATCCGCGCAGGTTTTATAGGCTTTGCACAGTGGTTCAATCTGTTAGGACCTTATTATTATTAAGGATGGGTCCAATTTGGGTCTCTGAAACGGTTTTGGACTATAACCTATATATGAGCTGAAAGTGCTCGGAGAGACCTTTCATTTAAGCCTAGTTTGATCCGCGCAGGTTTTATAGGCTATGCACAGTGGTTCAATCTGTTAGGACCTTATTATTATTAAGGATGGGTCCAATTTGGGTCTCTGAAACGGTTTTGGACTATAACCTATATATGGGCTGAAAGTGCTCGGAGAGACCTTTCATTTAAGTCTAGTTTGATCCGCGCAGGTTTTATAGGCTTTGCACAGTGATCCATTCCGTTTTTTTACATCATAATAAAGATATGACCCAATTCGGGTGTCTGAAACGGTTTGTTCTATAGTTGGTGCTGCATAGTATTTATTTAATTTGTATTCAAGCTATTTTATTACCGAAGTAATAAATTTTAATATAATAATTAACAAATAATTATATTTTTCAAAATTTTCGTTTTTACTCAGTCTTTAACAAAGCTCTGTTAAGTCCTTAACAGAGCTCTGTTAAGTAACTGTGTCTGTTAACATCCAATTTAACTTTCCAATTTATCTTCACACCCATATTCGTTAATATTCTTTAAAAATCCATTAGCTGTTATTTTTTATTAGTCCGTACCATAGTTTTGGTTAAACAACTCTCTTTCTCCTTTTCTTTTCTAATTCTAAGTTCAATATTATTTTGAGATCCTTGGATGATATATAGTATAGCAGGTTGGAAGAAGCAATCAGGGGTTTTAACTTGTTCAAAGCTATTCTTTTAGGAATTCCATAAGGATTTTGTTAGCTTAGCACAATCTTAGTAGGAGAAATGAGTAGAAGGTTCGTTAGCCGCCAGTAGAAAAAAATAGTATTTGAATTAATCTAAGAAAAAAAACTTTTTATAAATCGTTAATACTTTTTTTTAAATCTTTTAGCTGTTTATTTTTATTAGTCCGCACCTCTATTCCTTCCTCTATTCCAAATTCAATAGCTTTAATTATTGAAAGTGTCATCTATTTAAGTTTAAATATGATTTAAGGTCAAATGAAATCTCTGCAATTACAACATCAAAATTCAAATTAATATTTACATTCTACTTAATCTGCTCGAATTGAATCAAAATTCATTCCCTGGAATACCACCCACCAGTCCCTACACACTAATTGATACTCTATTAGCACTACCACAACAACTTCTAATCAATATACGTCCATTCCATTCTAGGTATTGGATAAATGTCTACCGCATCTACCTCAAACTGAAAAGACTGCTATTCTAAATGCAACACAAATCGATTTACAATGGATTGTGGAACGTTCAAGCGGTGTGTGGCTGGGTGGCCTAACCGATGGTGAGTATAATTGATTTCAATTATAAAGATTGCATTTCCATAGAAAGAGAATCATTGTAATCTCTTACAGACAACTCCAAATCATCAACATCCACACTGAATCTATCACAATCGAGTGGTTCGCCACAACCACAACAGCAATTTGATCCATGGTCGGTGTGTTTGTTTGGATTCCTCGAAAGAGACCGCATTTTGCAAAAGTGTCCATCGGTAGTGGCACAAGCCTGGCCCATATGTTATGCCCGTCTGACAACATTGTACAGTGTCATTGATCCAACGTAAGTTGAGTAGATTTTCAAACAATTATTATATCTGATGAAATTTATTATCTCATTTCTTCAGGCCGGTCAGCGATAATCGAGCATCGCTGCTGCGCTCCTCGGCGCCAACAAAACGTGTGCCCACCGAAAGCCAAAAAGATCTATATTTGCGCATTTGGCGCAATCAGGTGGCAATGGCAATGCGTTTGGTACCGCAAATATTGAGTGTGGCCATACGTTGTGCCTCTCCCGATTTAAGTTTGAGGTAAGGTTAAGCTCTCACAATTTGATTGACATTTCGAGCATAATTTTTCCATACATCTGTGTTTTTGTTGTTTATGTATTTGTTTTTAACATTTGTGTTTCATATTTGTTTTCCTACAAAAACCACCACCACCACCACTAACACCCCTGCGAACATTGCCATTACTATCGTTCGTTTGTATAAATTGATTGCATTTTATTTGTTTATTTTAATTTTATCCCGTCCAAAGGATATAACAAATATTTTTATTTTTTCACTATCGCCCACCTCCACTCGAATTTGTGTTCCCCTTTTGTTTTATTCTGGGAATTAACATACAAAATATATATTTCTAATCAAATAACAACATGAAATTGTCATCATTTTGCGTCTCTGTACATGCGGAAATGTGCATAGGTACAGTGGTGGTCTGCTAATCAGGCTCGCCACTTTTTTCGATGTTTGCTTGATTTGAATTTAATTTTTTTTTAAAAGATTTCTATGAAACAACAAAGATTAAAAAATATCGACCCAAGTCACAATATAAAAATAAAAGAAAGTCAAACGTCATAATTTTTACATTTTGTTTAAATTTTATTGAATAAAAGCAAAAAATGACGGAAATAGCATCAAATTTTAGAATATGTTTAGATTTGTTCGAATTGGTCACCTTCGGCACGAATTTTTTTTTTTTTTTTTTTTTTTTTTTTTTTTTTTTTTTTTTTTTTCGAACGTTCCCACGCCTCACATTCCCACCCCTGCCGACCGAGGGGGCGACCTCCCTTTACGGAGGGATCGCGTACACATCATGATCCGCATCATAATGGGAATTCAGTAGGAAATTTAAAGCCAGCTACAGAATTTAATTCATCAGCTAGTTTGTCAAATAATAAAACATGTATGTTAATTGTTTAAAAATAAAATTATTCTATATTTAATAACTTCTAAACTCATACCAAAATCTACATTACAGTACACAGAATTAAAGTCAACACACATTTTACTAAGAGGTTCGCCCATTGAATAATTCGTGCGGTGAAAATCAGTATATAATAATTGGTAGTATCTACTAGATCTAAACGGAACATTAATTCTAATAGATGAAATCAGAAAATCTGAGGGTATATTACCATTTAATATTTTTAGTACAAACATGGAGTTCAACATAATACGTCTGCTTTTAAGTGTAGGCAATCTAATTAATTTTAGCCTGCTAGCATAAGAAGGCAAAACAAAATCACTATTCCAATGTAAACCTCGTAAGGCAAATAGCAGAAATTGTTTTTGCACGGATTCTATTTTATCTGAATATATTGCATATTGAGGATCCCATACAACAGAACCGTATTCCAATATAGGTAATTATGGCTTTAAAACGGCCAATGAAACCGTGACACGCTGCCCGAATGTCGCTCTGCGGTATTTTGGCCCATTCCCGGCGAAGTGCTTGCTTGAGGTAATCGACACTTTGGTTTTTTTAGTGCCAACCTTGCTTTCCAAAATTCTCCGGACACAATAGTCCAACGGATTGGAGATTTTGGTGACCATTGTGCGCTGGAATTGAAGCGAGGAACCTCATTTTGTAACCATTCTTGGATGGCGCGTGCTGAGTGCGATGGTGCTGAGTCCTATTTGAATGTCCAAGATCTGCGGCCAAAATGTTTTGCGTGCCCAAGGCTTTAATACACCCTCCAGTATATTTTCGCGATAATATTCGGCATTTATTCTGATGCCACGGTCGATTAATACGAGCGGAGAACGATCATAGGCTGTTATGGTGGGCCACATCATCACCATCTCGAATCGAAGGTGCACATTATCAGCTGACCTCTTTGGCAAGTAAACACGATCATTTTGTTTGTTTATAAACTGCTGGACAACGAATGTTTTCTCATCGGAAAAAACCAAATTCGGCAATTCACCACTTTCGGCGAAGCAACTCTTTAGTTCTTTTGAGTTTATTTTCCTTCTGTTGCGGTGTAAGTACTTGCACTTTTTGGATTTTCAATGGCTTTACGCCGAGAATATTGCGATATGTTTAGCTCATGAGCCATTTTTCGGCCACTGCGGTATTTGTAGTTTAAAGTGGAACACGTTTGAATTCAGATACTTTTATATAAACATGTTTTCTTTACCCAAATGCTGGAGGAGAGTATTAAAAGTTCGGCCCGGCCGAACTTAATGTTTTTATGGTATAGTATGGAGGGTATATTAAGTTTGTCATTCCGTTTGTAACACCTCGAAATATACATTTTAGACCCCACATAGTATATATTCTTGATCAGCATAAAATTCTATGTCGATTTAACAATGTTCGTCCGTCTATCCGTTTGTCCGTTTGTGGAAATCTCTCTAGCTGCCGAACGGAAATGTCCTTGTAAGCCATCATCCACATCAAATATGCCTGATGAGCCGCTTAACCAACGGCGAAACGCGTCGCATAGTGGTGAGTGTGTGATAGTGTCTATCTGGCTTTCCTTTTCACTGCAAATTTCAGATCATTAAGCTAGTCTCGAAAGAGAAAACAAACACGGAAATGAAGTAAGTTGATAAAAATTTTCTCAAATGTGTATTATGTCTGCAGGACTTTTGGTATTGAAAATGGACCATATAGGTCCACGTCTTCGTATAGCCCCCATATAACGGTACCCCTCGATATTCGGTATTTTGATGATTTTAGCGACATTATTTACCGGAATTGTTTCAAAATTGGTATTTGAAGTTCGTAATGGATACTACAGTCTAAGACAGAAAATGGACTATGTAGGTCCACGTCTTCGTATAGCCCCCATATAACAATACCTACCGATATTTGGTATTTTGATGATTTTAGCGACATTATTTACCGGAATTGTTTCAAATTTCGCATTTGAAATTCGTAATGGATACTACAGCCTGTGATAGAAAATTGTCCGTGCAGGCTTATGACAAAAGTTCGGTATTTTTAAGATTTTTTGAAAGACGCCAAATTTGTACCACATGTTAGAGGGCCCATCCGAACTAACAGCTTTTTTACTTGTTAAACTTACACGGAAGGCTATACTACACATATATATACTATATAATGCTATATAATATACAGATATTATATTTATATATAGCGCATTTTCTCTCAGATAACAAATTGTGTGAAACGCCTTAAAGTATGTTATAAAAATGCTTATTATAATTTTAGAAAACGCAGATTTAGATATGATTTTAATATTATGTGTATCCTAGTCTTAAATTCTCATTCGATTTTTGACTGTTTCATTTTCTCTATAAAATCCACAACATAAATGTTTCTTTTTTACCTTGGGAAATTAATTTTTTTAGATTAGGTGGCAATTTTTCGTAAAAAATCTCTGAAATATTAAAGTAAAAATCGAGCAAACATAATAAATATGGTGTTCCTAATTAGCTTGCCACCAATGTATATATATGTACATCCAATTTATACACATATATATTTTTTTTTTAATTTACATGCACATGATGAGCATCAATATTTGTTTGCATTCATTCCCAACATACCAAATTGACTTGATAATAATATTTTAATAAGCTTTCAAAAATAAGCCTTAAGCTTGAGAAAATCTTGAGAATGTATTGAGAAATGCTTGTTTAACAATTATAGAATAATCGAAAGGGAACCCTTATTCATAAGCTTATTCTTGTAATTGCAGAATAAGCTTACGAAAGTAATATTATATCAAGCTTATTTTTTCAATGGGAAAAAATATTTATTTATTTATTTTTTAATTATTTTCCACATTTCATTCATTGATCGCCATCCCAGCTGACGCTGCCTCCTGTTGCATTGATACCTAGATGATTTCTTTCCCCTTATTTGAGCTTTCGCATCTCCTCCACTAATTCTTCACTTCTCTTGAATTCTTGCAACTTTTTGACGCCTCTATTCTGAAATGAGATTGAAATAATATACACTACAGATTCCCAGATTTATTATTCATCATTACCTTAGAGTTTCGTCCAGAAATGGGTCTTAAATTCGCGTGATTTTGATTTTAACCAAAGAAAATATTTTTTTGTCGACAATTTTCACAAAAAAAAAAAAAAAAATCAAAACAAATTTGTCAACAAAGGACAGATTTGAGAAAAGTTTGTGCAAAAAAGTTTTTCTCTAGCATTGTTGAGGAATTCTTACGATAAACTATTTTCATAATATTATTCTCAAGCTGTATTGTATTTTTGGTATGTTGGGTAGTATTTCGTTTTTTTTTTCATTTGTATTGGTTCGAGTGTTTGTATGTATGTGTGTGCGTGCGTGTGTGCGTGAATGACTGTGTAACAGAGCGCTAATTATAATATTTGTTTGGAGTAAATGGATCATGAATTGAAATACAGTGATTCCGTTAATACTTTTGTGTAAATTAGATTGTATCGCGGAAATCCGTTGTTTTTCAATTCGAACGTCAACGCTACCAACTTCGCGGTTGGGATATAAGCATATTATAACACTGTTTTCTTTTCCTTAGTTATGCGAAATGGTTTTCGGTTAAATTTTATGAGAGAATCAAGAGTGGAAAGTAGGTTGATTATTTGAAGGTGGTTTTGGAAATGTGTACTAGGTGTACTAAATGGTACTAAATTGGGAACAGTTTTGTTAGGATGAACGGATGAAGCTGGATTTTAAAAATTTTGTATTGGGGTCCCTGTTGGTGGTAGGTTTGTGATAGTGATGTGGTTTTGGAAATGTGTACTACAAGTGCATGAAAAGTACTAAATAGTACCATATTTCGTAGAATTTTTTTTATATGTGAGAATCAAGATTGGAAAGTAGGTTTATTATTTGAAGGTGGTTTTGGAAATGTGTACTAAATGGTACTAAATTGGGAACATTGGGAAATTTTGTATTGGGGTCCCAAGTACACGAAAAGTACTTAATAGTACTATATTTGGTACAATTTGTTATTGGATGAACAGATAGTGCTTGAAATCTGAAATTTGGTATTAGGGTCGCTGTTTATGTGTAGCCTGGACATGTGGACGTTTTTTTGTAATATGTACTATAATTGTAC